CGAAAACAAACATAACTCACCGATAAAAGGTTATTTTTTTATTTAGCATTTTCCTTTCTTCTTTGTGAGACTTGCAGCCCACGATAATACAAGATTTTTTATCACAGACGTCTTTTAACTCTCAGGTTTTACTATCACAAACACTACTTGGAGTTTTATTCGAATAAAACTTTATTAATTGTATTTTTTTCTCTTCTTCTTTTATCAATGACTTATCTGCGCATTTCGCATAATTCTGCCAATGTCAAGTGAATAAATTAATTTCTATGTGTAAAATGATAATGAAATGAATGAAAGATGGCAATCAAATTTTTTTTCACAGATATTTTAATCACCGCGATCGGAATAATATCACTATGATACTACCAAGTGAAGTTGTCGTGTATTTAAATAAGATTAAGAGAATATTACGATCTTTTCATCTAACAAGACACAAATGTGGATTCGTTATCTCATTTCCTATGATAGTCAAATATGAGACAGATAGCTATTTCCAACTCTTACTTTTAGCCTTACAATTAAGCTTTGGATACACTATAGTTTTTGCATTAGTATTTTTCTTTTATTCCTATGGCATGGCTGAAGTTTAGGTCTTTTTATTAATAGTTTATCAGCTTTGTAAGGGGCCGTCCATAATTTTCGTCACACAAAATTCATGATTTTTTTAACCCCCCCCTGTCACATGTTTTCTATACAAATTCTACTAATAAATATTGTTCTAATGTCACAGTTTGTTGACCCCCCCCTCCTAACGTGTGATTTATGTATGGTCCCTCAGCATCCTTAAAGCCACTTAGTTATTACATTCTTCTTCACTAAATATATTTTTTCCATTTGAATATTCAAATGATATTTTCCATTCTATCACAATTATATACAGAGTTAACTTCCTGTATGTCTTCATTTTGTAGTAGAGATGGTAGAGGGCAGGAAATATATTCTTTATATATCTTTCGGAGAGAGTCGGTTACAATAAAAAAAAAAGTCCTATCTGATACCTCTGATATATTGCTCTGATTATTTGACGACCTCCGTAGCCGAGTGGGTCGCACGCCGGTTTCAAGGTGTCGCCATCTCTGAGGTCCCGGGTTCGATTCCCGGTCGGGTCAATGTAGAAAATGAACTTTTCTATATTGACTTGGGTCTGGGTGTTGTGGTACCTTCGTTGTCTCAGATACTCCATAATACGGGGGCTTTAGCTACTCATCTTGGAATCTGAGCAATGTATGTGATGTTGTTAAATATTTATTTATTATTTATTGCTGAGTGGTATAAATAGCGTAAGATTCAGCTGTAAATATAAATGAATTTGTATCGAAATTAAAACATCGTTCGAATTTCGCTTTCGTGTCATAATACCCAGCCTTCTTGTTTCATTTGTCTTTAATCCATTGGTATATATTTTGCGAGGAAGTATTTTATGACCTTCGTTACTGATTAAAAAATCCTATTCATATATTTACCACATAATATAGAGTCTGGCAAGCGAAACGTGTCACAAGAAAAGGGCGGCAATTTCAAAAATTCTTAAGCAGTAAACACTGAATGTAGTACTGCAAAATAATTTTGATACTTTTATTAATTATATTTAATCTTAACATTTAGATATCAATTAAAATTATTTGTTTTGGAACATTTGACTAAAGCGTGACTGTTCTTAATTGTACAGTTAACAGCATATCAGTAGGCCTATTCACTAACTCAACTGACAACCAAGAATCGTCATCACCGTAAAAAATAGACACTTTGATTGTGTCAAAATCACTATTTCGTATTCTCTATCAATGATGAGCAATTTCGAAATGTCAATATCGGCATTCTCCACTGGACTCCATTTTGACACTTGATTTCGTATCGATAAACTGTATTAAAGTAACATTGTTGCAAAGCATATTTGAAGTCGTCGCATAGTACCTCTTAAGCCATTTGTTGTTAAATTAAAGCGAAAAAAAATACGTATCCAATATTTTTCTATTATCTGACTGACGGACTAAATCGAATCTTTTTTTTAACCCATTCGTTATACCTATTGGCTAACAGCACTTATAATATTAAAAATTCATATTTGTCATTAATTAAAAGGGTGTTTTTTGCAACGACTTCTTTGTTTTTTTGTAATGAATATGGGCGACTCTGGCCACATTTTTTTAATAAATGTGATGTTAGCCAATTTTGATTTCTGGCCCTTATATTTATAATGTGTTCATAACACATACATGTCTCCTAAGGGATTTTCATCACAACCTTTTGCTCTGATCCAGAACCACTATCTATCAAATTAAATTAGTCAATATAAACACCAGATTACAATAAAAAAAAACATTTATTTTTGTTACAATTAAGTGCCATGGATAAATTACATAATACAGGTGTCACAAAATCATCATGTTAATCACAATAGAAAATTTAAGATAAGATTTTGACTATGAATCAGACTAAAAATACTTTAGTCTGATTCATAGTCAAAATCTGTTTCTAAATATTCTACACCTGATAACAATGACAAGGAATCATCAGAGTCACTCTCTTCACTACTGTCTGCACCAACAGATATAATAAATTTTTCAAGTTCGTTTTCAACAATGCCATCTTTTAATTTGTAATCATTTTCGACATTTAAAACATGATCAGTGTATTTCTTCCAGTCACTAGGGGTAATTAAGTTAAAACACTCTATTATTAAGTTTTCCATTTCCTTTCCTGGTATTCCAATGTTTCTGCTTGCAATTTTTCTTTTTGCTTGACTCCAAACCATCTCTATTGGGTTTAAGTCACAATGATACGGTGGCAGCAATAAAAGTTCATGATTATGTTCTTTTAAAATCTCTTCAGCTTCATATACAGGCAATGTTTTCTTATCATTAACCAAACACATTAACTCTGCCTTTGTCTGATATTCCTCAAAATGTATTCCATTATTTACAAGCCATTTACGGATATCTGCTTTGGTATTAGACATTATAGGCGGTTTATTGATTTGTTTTATATGGTAGCTGGCATTATCCATAACAATTACACTGGGCTTACTTAAATTTGGTATTAATTTTTCTCTGACCCATTTCATAAAGTTCGATGAGTTCATATCATCATGATAATCAGCAGATTTGGATTTACTACTGAACACTAATAATGCACCAGGCACAAAACCTTCCTCAGATCCAGCATGCACAACAATATGCCGTTTTCCAGAGGATATCTTTGTAGTGACACCAGTTGTTGAAGGTCCTTGCCAAGACTTTTTAACTTTATAATTCTGATGTACATAAGTTTCATCAAGGTACACAATTTGCTTTCCTTCGTTTCGTTTTATATTTATTTCTCTCAAATACTTGTGCCTCCATGCAGAAATCTGGTATTTTTCTATAAGCATAGAACGTTCATTTTCATTGCTTTTAAAAGAAAATCCATTCTTAAGCATAATTTTTCGTAAAGTCTCACGGCTACCACTGAATCCTATTGCATCTTTTAATTCATTGTGAAGGCTTCTTAATGTTGGAACAATTTTTTTCACACAGTAAAATTCATTTACTTTATTCCGAATTGCACTTAAATCAAAATTATCTAAAGCAGACACTGTTGGTTGATGAGGTCGTTTTTTCCCAGGAGTGTCCCATTTTCCTTTATTAATTAATGCTTCATTTTTTATCCTTCTTAGTGTCCTTATACTTACATCTATAAAAGATTAAACACTTTGAAACAAAGATATGTTAAATGTATTTAAAAGCAAATAATGATAGACACATACATCAAAATAATTTAAATACCTATTCAACTATGAATGCAATTTATGTTTAATTTAGTTAAGTTTATGTGCATATTTAGCATGTATAACAATTACATGGTTTGATTAGTTTCATGAATTCTGTGAATTTCCTTGTTAAACAAAACATTCTTATGACATCATTGGATGTCAACAATAAAAACCAATACATCATAAAAAACCTATGTAAATATTATAGGAATACTATCAATCTATCTTAAATCAAAACAAGAAAAGAGACCTGTCATTGAAGAAATTTTTTGTAAGTACTGCGTTTCCGAATTCAGCATTTCTTGTTTTTCTAAAGTTTTTATTGCATTTATCTCCTCCATTATTGGTTGAATATCACCATCACAGTTATCTGAAATAGAGCAATATTTTATAAAAAATATCTGTTTAGTTAATTACAGAAAATTAAAACGAAAGTATCAAAATTATAATACAAAACTAACCTAAAAAAGATACAACTTTATCTAATCGTTGTAATTTCTCCATGAAATTTTTATTTAATTCAGTTTTCACTTCAGTAAACTTGTCAATCATGATGGAAAGAAGTTTCCTCGATGAACTTTTTATCGGCTTCGACATAATTTTTAACCAAAAACACAAGTTCAAATTCGCAAAAACAACAAAATTCAATATTCTTGAATTGTCTAACGTAGTGTCAAACTGACAGTTCTATGTTGTTGCCATATGAAAACGGAAAAATAGGTGGTGTCACGTTTCGCTTGCCAAACTCTAAAAACTTTATTGTGACTTGATGTAGTTTTGTTGCTGTTAGTTCAACTAATAACTAAGAGCAACAAAGCTAACTTATCTAGTTGTTATTATTTTCAGAACTTTATACTATTTATATATTATTACAATTTCGAAGTTCGGTGTTACAATAGTTAAATAACAACATAAAATATTAAACAACGAAGTTATTGAGGTCCTGTAGGTCACGTGATAGGTTAAAAATTTAACAGATACCAAAACTAAATGAACGTATTGGTGGCTTTTAAATCAGTCGTCTATTTAAATGGTCCAAATGTCATAATGATTCAACTAGAAAACTAGGCATTCAATTGAATAGCGCCATTCTATAAAATGGTTAGCCGCCCAATTGAACGGCTGTTTTATCCAGTTGGCTGCGATATATATGTTTTTTGATAATTTATAAATTGATAAATATGTAATTTCTATTTGTATAAAATAGAAACAATATAAATAGAGTTACAATGTAAATCATAAAAAATATTTTTATTCCTCTCATTATATACACCGAATGAATCATAAACGAATAATTATTTTATTAATAAGATTATAATATTTTAGATATATAATTATTTAATAATTCTCATACAGCAAATACGTAGGCTAGACTATGTTGACATAAAAAGTAAGATAAGTAAATTAGTTCGATGACCGAATCAAGAAATAGGTGAATATTTCAGAGTTCGGTGTCGGGTGCCTGCGCTAGATATTTCTGAAGTTGTGGAAGTGCATAGACATTGTCGAGCAGTTGCTTGAAGCTGGGGAACTCCTCCTCCAATTGCGGCCGGCGCATCATTACTTTCAGATAATCTAACATGCCCGCAAATACGAAGTCACCCCATGTTAGCTGAAAAATAAATAAATCTTTAAAGTGACAATAATATCATAGTCAACAATTAACACTCTGTTAGTCTCAAAGTGTGGATATTATCACAGTTCGATAGTCTCGAAGTAAACTGACGAGCAAATATCTTGGGTCAAATAGAATTTGGATCAATTATCTGGAAATAAGTAATAATAACACATTATATATAATCAATTGTTTTGGTGGATAACCATTGATAGAGATAATCAACTAAGTATATTCAGTTTGACTTAATCAAAATTAGTCGAATTTAGAAAAACAATGCTATTCCGAAAATGAAATCAACTAAAACGTTTTATTAAATATAAATAATAAAATAAATCATAAAAAAATATGAGCACTTATGGTTATAGTACTATAGCTATCCAGATGCGAATAAAATTTATAAATACCTTTTCAGCAGCGACGTGACCATTATTCTGTTTTACTATCTCATCTAATTTTTTTAGCATAGGTGGGTACACGTTTTTCGAGAAGTCCTCGTGCTTTTTCTCCTTGAGAGCTTCATCGCTTTCATATTGAACTGTGGCAGCCTCTACAGAAATTAAATTAAATGCAATGAAAGTTTTCATAAAAATATAAGTACAATGTCGCATCATCTTTACGAAGATCGTTTGATTTAGTTTCTTTTATTTTAATTGCTAGTTACTCGATTACTTAATTACTCGATTGTAGAGAGAGTGTGATCATCGATACTTTTAATTTTATTAGAATGGTGACACTCTTTGACAGTTCGTTAACAAAAAGCAATTTGCCGCCATTTTGACACATTCTGTTTCCGATTGCCGAGGAGTAAAGACATCCGACGACATCTCGCTCATCTCGTTATATTTTCGTATGAAAGTGATAAAATGGAACAAATCCACGCTGGTATACACGCCTGCAGTGTTATTTTAAAGATAGTCCTCCGATATAGACGATCTATTTGGGCTTCGTAATAGCCCAATCGGACTACCCACCGACATATATTATTCTCAAAATGTTGCTTTCCCTGTTTTATTTAGATATTACAAAAGTTTATTTTCGTACAAAACACCGACTACTACTGCAGCGCTAATTATCGATTTCACTACGGGCAGCCCTATCTGTCAATTAGCTGTCACTGTCACTTTGACTTGGACTTTAGAATTAGATCAATTTCGCGCCAATATGCTGCCGAATTGTCATTCTTATAAAACTGTTGGAATCGTCATAGTAATTTTAAATATATGAGTGTAAAAAAATTAATAAATATTACTGCAAGTTATCAAACTTTAATGTTCTAAAAAGTATACTTTCAAGGAAAGGTATTGAACATATAGGTTTTTTTTCTGTAAATATTGTATTTTACCGTATTAAGTGGGTTCAAAACGTTCGCGACAATATTGTTTATGCTTGCAATACTCACTGGCTCTGATATCGTTGATGAAATCTACGCTCTGGTCGATGAGAAAATCTTCTTCTATGTCGGCACCATTCAGCCCGTACTTACGGCCCAGATACCGTGATATAGCCAGGCTCTGTGCGTACTTTTTACCATCAATTTCAAGTACAGGCAGTTGTCCAAATGGAGTCGCTAAAATGTAAATAAATACGAACGTAGGTAATGCATTTTTTTAGAAAAATAATGAATATACGCGCGATCAATACGGAAAAGTATCATACAAACGTTTACAAACAATTATTGATTTCATTGTCACTGTTTACAGTTATTTTGAAGGAAGTCGGTAGGTATAAACGAAAAATGGAACCCACTGTCTCATTCAGCCGATAAATAAGCACATAGCCACTATCAATAGTATCCGATAACCAAACAAGTATTCTTTATAATTTTTCCACATAAAAACAAAGTTTCATTTAGCTTCAAGTGGACGTTACAATAAATTATTGAAAAAGAAATAGGTTATTTACCTCTTCTAACAAACGATAGATATTAGTATGAATTGAAGTTTTTATAACTTGAAAAATAAACCATCTGGGTAGATGTTGCAAGTCGGAATACAAGCGAGGGTTGTTTATCATTCATCAAAAAGCTACATAAAACAATAATATTGGTTTTTTTTTATAGAGATTTCATTATTACCTAGTAGATGTGCGTAAAGATTTCGAGGTCTTTAAAAGATGAACGTAGATTACAAGAGATAACGTACAGTCGCCCAGAATGTGCTGATAAATACTTGGGAACAAATAACGTTCATAAATCATACTAGTTTGTGTTGAATTGACAGGTTCGTAATAGTGTTGATCAATTTCGAAAACTGCCGCCATGTCACAAGACGTTAGTGGTATTTTGTTGTAGCAAGACAAAACTATATCATGTATGTTAATTATGAAGTATTTAATGTGTACAATCAAATTCGCACATTATTAAAAAAAATAATCGGAAATGAAAACCTGTTTAAATTACATTTGAAATGGCTCAAGTACGGTTTGATTCGGCTTAATTCAGAAACCGGGTGTTAATGCACGAAATCAAGATTTCTAGATTCTTGTAGTAGCTTACAAATTTTGTGTATAAAACTCTACTTTCGTTATTTATATGTTAACTTCCATGTTACCCCGTGACATCCCAACCTACAGATGAGTGTAAGTTTATTGAAACCACTCACTAGGTTTAATATTAGGCCAGTTGTCCGGGTTGATTCGGTAATCTTCAAACTCTTGACCACCGTAGGCTAAAAGCAACCGGCAGCTCTCTCCCAACGCCTTTGCAGGGAAATATGTGAATTTCACGGTAGGCATTTTTCTGGAAAACATAAATTCTCAATTATTTAGTTTATCTAGGTAAGTACCATGGAGATTTAAAACCGAATATAGATACACGGATTCTTAATTAAATAACCCTGGTTTCTTAACCTAACTTCGAAAGAATATTGTTAACCTCCTGTGAACATAAGTTGATTCACTTTTATATCAAGAGTTTTTGAAAGTGTTTTTTTTTTATGTTTGTATTTGTGCTGTTTAATATTAAGGGTTTTTGAAAATGTTTTTTTATTTTTTTATATTAGTATTTGTTCTTTGTTAAATATTAATCATTTTCTGTGGCTTAGGTCTTCAAAACTATAACTCTATTTTGATGAAACTTATGTTCTGTAGGTTATTACGAGTGTTATAATAGCCGACAGTTTTCAATAGCAGTTTCTTGAATAATTAAGTTGCTTTTAAGAAAAATTAAATTCTATTTAATTTAGTGATATAATTTTTTTTGTAATAAGTAGGCAACACTAAATATAAAATATCTACATTAAATATGTCAACATAGTCAGTCTTGGGAACAGAGACATTTTGTAATATTATAAAGAGGAAAGATTTGATCTTTTATTTGTTTGCATTGAATAAGGTCCGGACTGGAACAGTACTTTAAAAAAATTAAGGGTAGATAAATATATCATACGCAAATAGGACATAGGGTATTATTTACGTAAACAAGCCGTGGAAAAACAGCTACTTTGATAGAAATTGATTCACAATTAAGAAAATCGGTGAACATATGTATATTAAAACATACATCGACGTCGAAATATAATGTCCTCCTTTTCAATTTGTTAAAAATAATAAAATCATTGAAACGAGTCATTTATAGAAAATATGTAGGTATACTGTATTTGTAGTTTTAGACCTTTCGTTAAGATCCTTTTTTTTGGTAAAAATTTTTCGATTCGAATATATATTAATAAAATAAATAAATAAATGATACTTACAATAAATCTATCGAACGATTGATTCAAATTTCAATGTTTTTTTATTAGTAGCTAGGTACAATTTCAAACAAAAAAAGATCCAGTATTAACGAAGACTGATGTAAATACAAAAAATATGCAGTCTAATTTTGAAGTCTGTTAGGTTAATAAATACGTTTTATTGATTTTTATTTATTGTACACTTATGTATGTGGTTAATTCTATTAAAGCCCGGTTTTAGTAGCAGAGGTTATTTTATTACTGTAATTTTAATAAGTGACTGTGTACAATATACAAAATAATTGTTTCCACTAATAACTATTTCCTGAGAACACGAATTTGATAGAAAATATATCGTTTTATAAGAATGTTAATTAATATTTATGCAAAAACGTGTTGCAGAACAATTTTGACCCGCTTCTTAGACAATAGTTTTGAAAATTGGAACATATTTTATATATGACTTACTTCTATTTGAAATACATAGGTAATAAGAACTGAAAAATGAAACTTACTGATGAGTTAAATCAGCGATTATTCCAATAAAATAACCGGGCGAAGTGTGGGCGCTCTGGCCTAATATTTATGATGAGAGTTGTCGAGCGTCGTGTACTTGTGTCTTCGACCTTCATATGGTCTTATAAAGTAGCATAAAAAGCGCTAGATTGCGTACAAACAAGGATACGAAGCCACTCACGATTTAGTTGATTACAAAGTGTATTTTTATGTTAATAATCGGTCAAAAAGATTGTTATAAATTTGCTTATAAAAATTCTAGAGGTAGGAGTGGATTGAAAATTTGTAGATTCAACTTTTGAATAATTGTTAATACTTGGGTAAGTACGTATTGTTGCTGAAGACTGGCGACTAATAAAACTTAAGATACCAGTTGATGAACATTGGCAAATGATAAAACTAGCTCTTCTCTTTTTGCTTCGCGCAGTTATATAGACATCATTTTAAATATTTTAGAATAAGTATCAATAAAGCGCTAAAGTGGATGAATGGTGTATATGGGACAGATGTGGTGGGGCTCGATTGCCGTCGGCGCGGATGTGACAATGGTGGACGACACACCCAAACCTATATATACCACGTTTAAGTGCACCGTCGATTATGAGCGTGTTAAGATTTTTGTATGGAATCCGGTACAGCGCCTCTAGCAGTAAATAACTAGAACTACAAATCTTCATACAAATTCTTAACGCGCTTTCTAGCTTGTGGACGCATTAGCGTAAAACTTACACTTACAACTCATGTTGATTTTATTGAACGATAATTTAGTTACCGGCTGTAGGTACGGGGTGGGGGAGAGGACGGATAATACACAGACTTCGTAGTTTAAGATTCCGCTGCGTTAATGTAGTTATTTTGACGAAACTTATTTTTTATGAAGGTTAATGATATAATCCCCGCAAATTGCTAATGTGCCTAACCGCCATTTTGATGGCATATTGAGTTCAAAAATTAGTGCCGTAAACAAAACACTGGTACGAGTATACATAAATTGTCATTTTTACAAGGATGGCAGTGACATCTGGTAATTGAATCTAAAACATAGCTTATCTTATTTATCAACAGATGGCGTAACGTCTACATGTGCATGAGACGTACTATTAAAAAACAAAACGGTAATGGCGGGAGATAGTTGATGCTTACGAGTGTTTAGCTATCTTTTTCTTCGTCATTATATCTTACGGCTCGAGGAACATCTTGCTGAGTGTTGAGTTGAGAATCGTTCTCCTCCACCTGGTTTTAGTGTTTTGTGCTGTGTTTTACAATTATAGTGACTGAAATATTTGTTTTGCGAAACGGACGCTTTTAGTTGTTTAAGTACTGACTGTTCAATTTATGATTAAAAATGCCTAAACTGTGTTGTTTGTGTTTTAAGAATGGTAAGTAATCCATAGTCCGCCGTTTTAATATCAATTTGCAGGATAAAAGCCTACAAATCTTAATAAATCTTGATCGTGCTGACACCTTTACAGAAATGGAATTTACAATACTTCTTAATTTACAAGTAATGAACTCTCCTATATACCGCTTCATATGCAGAACAATTCCGGAAATAGCAAGGAAACATTTAGATATAAATATCGTAGATAAATAGTCAAATATTGATATGTGTTTATCCCTAAGATTTATCCAATTGAAAGTTCCTCATCTTTAAAGTTCAGGGTATTTTCACACTTTTCTAAAGCACTGGTCTACTTGGTTACAGGTCATGCCATTATGCACAGATTCCCAAACCCAGACAAATATCCTGAAAAGTTTGTAACTTGGGTTAGGTTGGCTGGTGGTAAACTGGAGACGGCTTTGGATTATGATTGTTTTAAAAATAAAGTTGTCTGCGATATGCATTTTACGGACAAAGATATAAATCGAAACAAACGATTAAATGCATTAGCAGTACCATCACTGCATTTACCAGGTATGTTTTTAAAAAACCTATTACTAAAATTACAACTGTTATTTCTCTTTCCCAGTAATGTAACTATAGGCCGGCAGAATGTCATGCTGCTAAAATAAAATCCCATTTTTAACAAGATAAATTAATTAGTTATTAAAAAAATCATACAAAAGAATAAATTCTATATATATATATATATATGTAATTAATTGTTTCCGTTTTGGTTGATCCTTTGGTTGTTTCTCTCAATATTAAGTTCAAAGATAAACATAATTGTTTCTACATTATATTGTATAATTGTTTCTACTTTTCTTTTATAATAGTTATATTGTTAAGATACAATTTTTAATTTTTATAAATATCTATGCATTTGAAGATTTAATTTTAGCTGGGGCGGGCTTGTCTAATTAATTTGCCATGGATAGATCCATGTATCCATGGAAAGATACATCCACATGGTATAGTTATGCTACTGTTTTTTCCCTAGCCTCACAGAAAGTGTACCCAAATAAATAACCATTTTATTTCTCTACTGAAAGTAGACTTGCAACGAATATTCAGTATTCAGCTGAATACTGAATATCTCCATACTTTTCGGCCGAATATAGAATACTTATGTACCTAATGTATTTTGATGTAATTGAGATAATTGGTAAAATAAAAGAAATTATTGATTAATTTTATAATAATATTGTTTCTACTTTTCTTATAATCATGAAAGTCATTAAAACATATAGTATACAATCATCTTCTATTTCAGAAAATTTAATGACTTTTGTAAATTTGAATTCTTGTTGTAATCAAAGTTTAGAAGCAGAAGGTTATGGTGTAGAATAATTATTTAAATATGTAGTTTATTACTTTTTTCTCATAGACTAGCCCACCTTCAGAGAAAAGACGCTCTGAATAAATACTACTTCTTGGCACCAATAATTATTTTGCTGCAATCTTGATCAAAAATGGAAATTTAGAATTTCTTGCCTGTCATAATGTAAACGGATTTTCATGAATACTTAAAAAAGGTCTATTTCTGTCTCAAATGCATTTTTTCTTTTGATACAAATTTTGGCACTACGTACCAGCCTAATAACTAATGCCTAATATACAGTTATATGGTAATATTTGGCATATATATTTAACATACAAATATACTATTCGTTGCAATTCTAGTTTTTAGTTAAGACAATGTTTTAAAATAAAAAGCTAAATGAAAAACTTAAACATATCCCTTAAAATGCAATAATTGATAGCAGTGTACATATGTTTAAGATATTTGTTTTTTTTTTATTTACAGGTACTAGTAAAGATTTTCAGGAGCAAGTTTCAATTATACCTAATCAAAGTAATCCTACATCTACTATGTTTGTGACAAGTGCAGGTAAATCATTATATATTTAAGAAAGATTAGATTTGACCAATTTTGCATTCATATTGCTTTATTGAAAAATATTTTTTATGAAAAATGTTTAAAAAATCCTCTGGCCCCAGTTAGTCCCATCTCAGGGTGCCTGGAGCTGGATTTTTAAGCATTTTTCAGTATAGCATATTGAATTTTGGCGCCACATACTGGCTGAATAACCAATGCCTAATATTCAGTTTTACTACCAGGAAGCTCATTGAATATTTGGTATTTGGCATATGTATTTAACATATAAATATACTATTTGCTGCAAGTCTAGTTTTTAGTTCAGACAATGTTTTAAAATAAAAACCTAAATGAAAAACTCAAACATATCTCTTAAAATGCAATAATTGGTAGCAGTGTC